ATGGCTGCAAAACAAAAGCGCAAACAAAGTGTTTAAACAGTGATGAAAGAGTGACTAGAGTTGAGTGCAGAGAGTGTGGCATTGAATTGCAAAATGCATTCATTGCCGGCATTTCATTGGCTGCGAACCGAATGTCTGTGTTGTCAATGCATTGCCAATGCTTTCAATCAAAGGCACACAAACTGTCGCACACTTTCATGTATGGCATGAGTAGACTGACCACAATATGCTCATCATTTCAAAGCATTCCTGCATTGCATCATAAATAATACTCAATTCGTGCACTTTTTACCAATTGTGCTTGAACTGGCATATTTGCCCATGCACACTTATGCACACTTCCCTATGCTAAATGTTAAACATATTTTTAAAATAGTGTACATGCTCTTTAAATGCTATTTAAATAGGCAATGAAGGGGATTGCTGTACATGTGGTGAGCCTAGAAATGTGATATTATTTGCACTTAACTATAAACTCAAACTTAAAACTATTAACAGTAAAAAGCAATAAAAATAATTGAATGAACTTATCATACATTTGACAAAATTCAATGGCTTTTGCTAAACATATTGACCGATATATGGCAGACACACTGTACCGATAGCGCACTGATAAGCCGTCCGATAGTACAGTACAGTAGGAATAGATTGAGAGTTGAGTGTCGTGTGAACTGATAAAACATATCAAACTTTTTTTTATATGAAAACAATAATATTTTAATTGATTTTTTGTACAAATGATTAATGAAATACAATAATAGAGTTGTTATCTCGAAATGAATGTCAAGTCTATGCGTAAGACATGTGAATGAATGGCATTATTTAAGCACCAAATCTATGCTTGAGTTCATTAAATACTAAATATATTTCTTATCATTTTTATAATAAATTAATTTACAATTTGTTTTGTTTCATGTTTTGTATGAAAAACTCGCAAACAATGGGTGCGACCACTGACTGGCCATCTCTTGTGTCCAACAAATTGTCTCAATATGTCATAGATTTGGTGCCAATTATCGTATAATCATATTATATATAAATCTATTAATTAATTAATTACTGCTTTTAATTGTTTAAATCACTATTTAATGTGAATCTAATGTATAGATAGTGTACATAATGTGAAGAAGTGGTCCAAACATATCATTACATTAACTGTTAAATTAAATACAATAATCATATTAACTAAAAATCAGTGAAATATATACGCGAGTCGTGTCCGACACACAAACGCCGGCCAACTCTTTGCACCACTAATCGAGTCCAACATATGTGTGATGTCTGGACAGGGATTAAGTGGTCCACCATTTGGACGGCCAGTGGACGACACGACCGCTTATATACCGTATATTTATATGCATTAAATCACAGAATCATTCAAATGATAACTAATTATTATTATAATAACCTAAAGATTGTAATTAAAAAACACAATTAAAGGGATGAACAAAACATTTGTATATAAAATGTAAATAAATTTATCAAATAATGGGGAAAATGAAATCTCAAGAGAAAATAAAAGCGGCGTTTAATTGATAGGGAATTGGTGTCAACCAAAGCGTCTGTCTGTCTGTTCCCCTAATATCCCAAACCATTAAACTATGGCTTCAAATGCCTATCCATTGGCTGCTGTTTGTAACCAAAGAGTCAATTATTATCCCTAAAAGCAATGCTTAAAATTCAGATCTATATTGTATTCGACGACAAAAATAAAAGTTTATATGAGATCTCATTTACGGTATATTTTGGCTCATTTTAGTAAAAATAATTTCCAATCAATTATAATGTCTAAGAAAATGATAACTAAATATCGCTTCAATTTGTGAACAAAACTTCATTACTTTTTTGGCACAAACCTATCAATCAAACCATTTATTGAATTTTAAAAATTGTAAATTTAGTCTCGAGTATAAAAAAGTAAGAATTCATGGATTAAGAGTCGACTCTTTGTTTGTTTATAAGGAATCAGACTTTGAATTAATTGAAACAATAATTGTTTTTGTGTTGTGTATAGAAAAGGGGATGAAATGAATTCATATCTGATATGCATTTCATTGACTCTAATGAAGGATTAGCTGCACTGCTATTCAACATAATCTGAAACTTCTTGTATTTTCAATTAATAATAAATAAAAATAACAAATAAATTATAATTAACGTCAATGAATGTTATGTTAAGATCCGTTCAATTTTTTCATACAATATTACAATAAATGTTTTTTCTTTGAATTACAAAATTAATTATTGTCTCAAAAAGTATGGAAAGTATTTAATAAGTTTGAAATATTGTGTTAATTAATTGTATGCACAAAAGATATGACCAGAATTTGTTTTGGCATTAAATTGGGCTAACGTTTGATAGTCTGACTGCACTTATAGTCGGAATCGAGTGATCGGATTGTATGCTATAATAAGTCACTTATTATAGCGTATTGTCGATTGAATGTCAACTCAAACGATAAGAAGCACGTCTTGGCTGCCGAACAGGAACTCGAACTCATCGATCATTGTCTGCACGAAGTCCTCCAAATGTGGTCTCATTTGCTCGAAGACTAGCATATCGTTGAACTCAATCGGAAGGAGTGTTGGCCACCAACAGATCGCTAAGTTCTTACTGTCCATACTATTCAGTCGACAATTATCTGTCACTCTATTGGCATCGAAATAACGGTTTTATAGTTAATATAGTTTTGTAGTTAACATGTAATCAAATGCATTGTTTCACTTACTTTACAAAATGTTTGAAAACGAATTTAATTACTTCGAAGTTAACTAATGGAAGGCTTTTCAAGAAATCCTTGAATGAAGTCAAACGACTGCTCTTCTCGCCAAAAGCCGACAATTCTGTCAACTCATCCATCAGTGTTGACGGTATGAGTGGAGGCAAGCGTTTCGAGAAGAAGTCTTTCAGAGCAGTGGCCACAGCGTTCACCGGTATGTCCAGCTCTCTGATCGACACATTCGGCTCTGTATTCGGATTTAACATTCGGTTTAATAACATATATAACTGACGAACAGTTGAGTTGAATGCAAACCTTCTTCAAACTTTTGGAAGAGAAGGTCGACGTGAGCTCTATTGCCAGGCACTCGATATATACCCTC